GTTAAGCGTGAGACCGTATCTCTTGGCCACATCCAAAATTCTCTGTAGATTTCGATTGTGTTCTATCACATCCATGCCGCAGATTACTACGTTGTCCACGTAGGCGTAAGTACCAGATAGTTGTTCCTTGCTGATTATGTTATCCAGAGTTCGCTGGAAACATGCTACGCCATTCGTCACTCCGAATGGGATGCGGCGGAGCTGAAATAGCTTCCCACACGCCTCAAAAGCGGTGTATTTCTTTTCTTCTATTGGGATGGGTATTTGGTGGTAGGCGCTTTTCAGGTCTAAGGTACTGACTACATCGAAGAGCGCAATTTGTTCAATGAAGTGATCCATGCGAGGAAAGGGATACGCATCGAGGTACGTGAATCGATTGATGGTTTGACTATAATCCACGACCATACGTTTCTTATGTCTTTCATTAGAGGTTACGAGAACCTGGGCCCGCCAAGGAGACCTGGACGGTTCGACGATTCCTGCATCTAGTAGTTTCTGGACTTCCGATTGTATGAATAGTTCGTCTGCTGTTGGATGGCGTCTGGACCTAGTTGCGATAGGCCGGCATTCGGGTGATAAGTCGCCAAAAAGGGTCTGGGGATTTATTTTCGCAGCGAGAAGCCCGCACACGGAGAATATGGGCCTGCCTCCAGAGAATCGAAGCTCCATTCGTTTGTGTAGTCGGAGAAAATCGTGGCCCAGCAGTAAATCTGCGCATAATTTTTTCATTACGGATAGTTTGATATTTTCATAGCTCGACTCTTTGTATGCTATCGAAACCAAGCAATGGCCTTGTGTAACACTTGACAGAGCCGTGAACGCCATGGTGATCCGACTTCGTGAAGGTATAATCATCCAGTTATGCTTCTGAACGACGGCCTGAGATACGTAGCTCTCGGAGCTGCCTGTATCGATGAGTGCCTGTAACGAGATATTGTTCACCGTTAGTCGTGTAACTGCCTTAGACAGACAATGAGGAGCGGCAGCAACTGTTACCGAAGAGAGGAGGGAATCTAGCGCTGACGTAACTCGTTTCGTGGTCTGTGAAGCACGAAAAACTCGTTGATAGTGTCCCTTCTTTCCGCAAGCTTTGCAGACAGCATCTCGAGCGGGACATTTTAGTCGTAGGTGTCTATCAAATCCACAAAAATAGCAATGAGAGCTGCCAACAGCCGTTACCGGTTCTGTCACGGCCTCTCGGTTGCATGTTTCTACTGCCGGCTGTGCTGAATTGGTAGACACGGAACAAGAGAGATTGTTGGTCAGGTTTTGGTACGATACAGCCTGTTTCTGTGCTGTATCCAATTGTCTGGCCAAATTGATGGCATTTTGGAGGTGTAGAGTTTGTTCCTCGAGCAGCCTCTGACGAATGTGACTAAATTGTATGCCACGAATGAAGGCATCTCTAACTAATTCACCGCGATATTCTTCTGTTGAAACCGGCCTGCATCCATTGTCCTTAACGAGGTCCACCAAAAGTTCTAGAAACTGATCCAGAGACTGCCCATTTTGTTGGGCTGCAGTAGACAAAACGTGTCGTGCCAAGATTTCACTTTTCTGTTTGACGTATCGCTTTTTCAGAATTTGGATAGCGTCATCGAAAGTTTTGCAGTCTCTAATGTATTTGCAAACCGAGGGAGCAATATAATTTATGAGTGTATTCAATTTATCGGGATTGAGCGATTCAATAGTGGCGAGAAAAGTTGTCAAGGTTCGGTACCAATGAGTCCAGTGGGCCCCTACATCAGAAGAGTGAGGATCGATGTCGAATCGATCAGGCCGGAGATATTTGTCCATGTTATAGATTCAGTTGATTAAATTGTAGTAGATCATCAATCAACGGGATGCTCTGAGCACAACAGAAGAGGTAGGCCGTATCGTAGGCTTTAGTCAACTGAATAATGGAGGATATTGCTACAATAGGAAAGATGGTGGATATAAATGCATATAATACATATACAACGAATAATACGGGAATTGTAAAATAAATTTGTGTTCCAATACATGACAATTACATCAGTAGCGGAATCTACAAGGTCATCGTCCCTCATCTTGAAAAGAATGAGAGGAAGCCCGTCCGGTCCTGCTGCTTTTCCTTTCTTCAGGGCTTGGATGCAAGAACGAACTTCTACTGCAGTAGGAGGATCACATGACACTGCCCATGGAGCCTCAGCTACACCGGAGGAGATGGTCCGGTTAGCGCCTGACCAGCTGAACTGTTCGTTGAAGTACTCCGCCCACCGTTCAAGCCGTTGTTCCCTATTTTGAATAGCTTTGTATTGTATTGTATTGTATTTTGTATTGGTAACTTCCGTAAGCATATATGCTTACATTTCAGTTAAAAATGTAGCTTGTCCACTTTCGTCGCAGATTGTTTCACTAACTGTGGTTCGCCGACATCCCGTATTGCGTATCAGTTGGAACAGTTGTGACTATTCCCTGATGCAGCTGCTGCTTCCATTTCACTAGCTACCGTTGCCCACCAGTTCTCGTGGTCTTTCTTGATGTTCTTGAGTTGACGTTGCAGACACCACCTAACCCTGCCTTGATCCCGGGTGGCTGGGATTATCTGCTTTTTCTCCATCAGTGTAACTGACTCATCAGATATTCAATGCCTCGGGCGGGTTACAGCTTCGGATCCATAAGCAACGTTCGCTGCGGTGTGCGTTGCTCGGCGAATCTGATCCCATTGTTCATCTACACTATCACCTCGCAGTGCCCTTAGCTATTGTCCTAGTTCTGATCCAAAACGGGCACGAACGGTTGGGTCAGATAAGTGATGATCTGCTAATTAAGTTTGGTGGGATTTTCTGCGACCAGCGAGTTGAAGAGTGAACTGCATCAAAACTAACGCATGATCAGATTCAACGCAGGTGGTCCAATGGGACCTGCAGTTTTGTACTGGGCCACGCCAACGGTAGCTTACTGCTATATGGTCGATCTAAGTTAGCATGTCAGTTGAATTTGAGCTCCATTTTGCTGTCCGTTGAGAGCTATGTCGGAAGTTGGTATTGGATAGGAACAGATGATCTGCGCAGAACTCAACCGACAGCAAAATGGCGCTCAAATGAATACTACAACAAACGGGAACAATTCTCAAACGCACTCTCAATCGACATTCGCGGCTTGAATGATAATATTGATTCTGTACATCAATTTCTTCAGTCGCCTTTCCTTCTTGCTCTATTTTTTATCCGAAACACAACTTTCCGCTTCTGCAGACGCCACGCATCTTCAGTTTCCCAATTATTTGGTTTATACTTCGTTCATTCCCAAAGCTGGTGTGCTTTGTGCTTTCATCCATCATTCAATTGTTTCTACTCCGTTTTCCCACTTAAATCTCATCAACCATGAGTTCCAGTCTCTGTGGCTGAAAATTCGGTTCCCTTCTTTCAATCACTACTTGTGTACTGTGTAGCGTTCCCCAAATAGTAGTTACTTTTCACTCTGCTGTTTTATCGGCATAGATAGCATTGTTCGAACAGACCACAATTTTGGGTGATTTTAATGTCCGTAACAGGGACTGGCTGTTACACTCTTCAGGGACATTACTCCTTTGACGTGAAGCAGAATCATTTGTCCTATTGAACAGCCTCCACCAACTGGTTGACTTCTCGACCCGTATCGCTGACCGTACTGCCAACCACACTCACCCTCGATCTTGTCCTCACATCCAGCTCACAATTATTTTCAAATGTTGCTGCCATTCTTCCCCTAGGCTCATCGGACCATTGTTATATTTCACCCTCCGTCCAAATTGTTTGCTCTAATGTTCCTCCCAATTCTAGTCGCACATTTTGGCGATATGGTTCCGCTGATTGGTGCAGCTTTTGTACCTTTCTGGCTTCCAACCCCTGGAATGAATGTTGCTTTTCCACTGATGTCTCCATCTCCACTTCGAATTTCTTCAGTTCTTTTGCAAGGCGTGCACTTATCCATTCCTCATTTCACTAAACCCGGCAAGCCTCTTTCTCCAGAATGGTTCAACCACGCTTGTTGTCGCGCTGTTTGTAAAAAGAAATCAGCGTTTCGCCGGTGGCCTCGGTTGCCTTCCCCCAGCTCCCGCCGACGGTTCTTGTTAGCGCGAAACAAATGTACAACCTTCATGCAGAAGGCTATGAAGCACTTTGTTGAGCGCAAAGCAGCACAACTGGCGACTGCTCCTTCCGGAAGCCGAACGTTCTGGTTACTCGCCAAGGCGGTCTCCCGTAACTTCTATTCCACTAACTTCCCACCCATCGGTAAACCATCCTGTGACTTAGCATCCGACCCGTTGGAAAAGACAGAAGTGTTTCGTTCCCATTTTGCTTCTAGTCCTACCCTTTCCGAATCATTCACCCAACCTTTTACACATCCTGCGGCAAACCATCTTTTCACTCCGCTCATTTCCGCCAGAAAAATATGTCAGATTCTCTTGTCACTGGACCCACACAAGCCACCTGGACCCTCCCATTGACCTCAGAATGTGCCCTCCAGAACTGGCTCTCCTCCTACGCCGCTTATTCCCTCTATCTCTAAATTCCGAGATATTCTCCACCCCATGGAAAATTTTTGAAATTGTCCCACAGAGCACATTTCAAACAAAACAACAAGCTCGTTTTCAGAGATTCGTATTCATGCCAATACGTCTCAATATACATCACTACTTAAGAATAAAATTGTCATGGGAAAATAAAATAAAATAAAAACAGATTACTAGAAACGATTTAATCGTGAGACTCTAGAACAGACACTCCTTACGTAAACCCACCATTTCTATCTTCCTCGATCTGAGAGCAGCTTTCGACTCAGCCGACCGCTCTAAACTCTAGCGTTGCCTTTCTCTGAAAGGTGTGCCCGGGAAGTAAATTTCAATATTACAATCCCTTTATACTAATAGCCGAAGCCGAGTCCGAGCTTACGGTACGTTTTCACCCGTGTTCACCACGGAAAGTGGTGTTCGACAGGGTTGGCCTCTCACTCTGTTTCTATTTAACTTCGTGATAGATTTAATTCTTGAAATGGCCTTATCCTTCTGCGAGGAAAGCGGTATCGATTTACTCCCAGTTGGCAGATCGGCTGATCTGGAGTATGCAGCTAACATTCTGCTACTAAGTAAAGATCCGGGTAAGTTGCAAGCTTTTCTGGATAGTTTGAGTGCTAGTGTATCCATGTTCGGTATGCGTTTTGCACCTTCAAAGTGTAAAATGTTACTACAAGATTGGATTGGTCCAGCACCCAGTCTTACCCTAACTGGGGAAGTAGTAGAGGGAGTTTTTTTATGGCACAATGTGAATTACAGTAAACTGGGAAATCCCCAGGGACAAATAGCATACTGTAAAATTGAGAGTAAGTGAACATCCATGTAGGATCCAGTCTATTGATTCGGGGTTTAAAAAGTGTAAGATTGTAAGATGGGGGAAAAACAACCAGAGGAGAAAAAGATTGGAGTAGAGAGGTACGACACCTGGGAATAGAAACCTGATAAGGATAACTAGACACTTATGTACGGGATGGGCGGGTAGAAAATGCAGGAATAGGAACTGCCGAGGCAAGTTCTGAAGAACAAAAACTAAAGTAGTAGTGGTAGAATAGGGACAATGAAGCAACTGCCCGACAATGGGCTAGCGACTTTAGACTGAATGTTAGGGAAGGATCATCGACTTGCCGGATGGCATTTCGTTAAACAT